TAGAGCTGCCTCGCGTTTGCCCCGCCGTTTTCCCCCGACACTATTGGTCAATTTCACACCCGAAGCCGCGGGGCTGCAGTTGACCCGCGGCTTCGCCCGATTTCCTCCGCAGTTTCGTGATCCTCAAAAAACAGGATCACGAAACTGTGGGGGAAATCGGGCGAAACCGCAGGTCAAAATGCCGCCCGGAGCTTCGGGTGTGAAATTGACCAATAGTGTCGGGGGGGCAACCGCGAGGCAGCTCTAGTGCAAAATCAGCCATTGGCTCCCTAGGAAAGAAGAGGTCCCACAACGGGGCCCTCTAAATCTTCAATCAGCTGGAAAGGAATAGAGGCCGGGCAGTGTTCAACTATACTGGCAGGTGGGGGCGGAGGCGCTGACTGTTTATTACCAAAAGATCACTACGGATGGTTTCATTTTGGGAGGAAGGGCTGGCTTTAAGAGAGCCCGTTTGGTGTAGGCAGACTCTAATCTGGGAGAACCGGGTTTGATTCCCCACTCCTCCACGTGCAGCTGCTGGTGTGACCTTGGGTCAGTCACAAGTTCTCTCAGAGCTGTTCTCTCAAGGGCAGTTCTCGAGAGAGTGCTCTCAGCCCCACCTACCACAAAGGGTGTCTGTTGTGGGGTGCTCTACGGGGCTCATATGGGGAGAGATCCCCAGTTTCAGCGAGTTCTGAAAATACGGGATAGGAAGGAGAAAACTTTGGGTTTGCACCCGGGTAGGGAAAAAATCTACTGCGGAAAATTTAACTAAACACGCAGTCTTAAAAAGTCAGTGGGAATGCTGTGGAAATGGTCTGACTGTTCCTAGATAGAACCACTTCAGATTGCACGCTTGGGTGCGGAGATGAGCACCGCAAACCTAGAGTCGGACTCGACTGGCTTTCGAGCAAGGGAACCTTTACCTTTACCTTTACTCTGTGGCTGCAGTAGTAGCCTACACTGAAGCCGTTATGGAACTAACAGGCACTGCGCATTCATGAAGAAGACCAAAGGTTTAGCGACAGGACACAAGCCAATGAATCCTTTCTCTCTCGTCCCACAGGTTCTCCAGGACCCAAAGGGGAGAAGGGTTCTTCTGGACTCCATGTGGATGGCTCACAGGGCCCAAGAGGTTGGGCAGGTACAGAAGATGACTTATTCATTTAGTTGACGCAATTTCTATACCAACCTTCCCGCAAGTGGGCTCAGGGTGAGTTACAACCAGTGTTCCCGCTAAGCTGAGTGAGTGTGAGCAAGCTCACAGTTTTTTAGCCTCCAGCTCACAGATTTTTGTCTTAGCTCAGGAAGGAGGGCGGCCAAATCGCTCACAATTTTAATGGCAGTAGCTCACAAAGGAGAATTTTTGCTCACAAGACTCCGCAGCTTAGAGGGAGCGTTGGTTGCAACATTCGATACGAAGCAATGGAATCAAAATTAAAACTATAAACTTAACCCTTCAACGATGGCGATCAGACTGCATCGCAACTATTACAGTGGTGACCTGGTGTTAGAAAATTAAAGGCGAAAACGGATTGCAGATTATAATTATCCTACCTTGGGGAAACAAAGACAGTTATCAATCTGTGTCCTCGCAGATTAAAGACCATGGTAACATGATGGTAACAGGAGCGGCCAGATGATATTTGACATCTGCTGTCTTTTGTTCTTATGTCTGGGCAGTGGCGCTCTGTATTATTGGTGCTTTGAGGGCATCGGTGGGAGGGCTTGGCTTCTGGAGTTCTGGCCCAACTGGTGGACCTCCTGGTGGCACCTGGTTTTTGGCCTCTGTGTGACACAGAGTGTTGAACCGGATGAACTACTGGACTGATCCAACATGGCTTCTCTTATGTTCTTATGTCTGGGGCAGGGATGCTCTGTATTCTTGGTGCAGCTTGGGAAGGACCTCGTGATGACCCCTGGGTTTTGGCCACTGCATGACACAGACTGTTGGACTGGATGGGCCATTGGCCTGATCCAACGTGGCTTCTCTTTTGTTTTTGGGGGCAGTGATGCTCTGTATTCTTGGTGCTTGAGGGGCAACAGTGGGAGGGTTCCTGAAGTTCTGGCCCGTCTGGTGGACTTCCTGATGGCACCTGGGTTTTGGCCACTGCGTGACATAGAGTGTTTGACTGGATGAGCCATTGGCCTGATCCAACATGGCTTCTCTTTTGTTTTTATGTCTGGGGGCAGTGATGCTCTGCATTCTTGGTGCTTGAGGGGCAACAATGGGACGGTTTCTGAAGTTCTGGCCCTGCTGGTGGACTTCCTGATGGCACTTGGGTTTTGGCCACTGTGCGACATAGAGCGTTTGACTGGATGAGCCATTGGCCTGATCCAACATGGTGTCTCTTTTGTTCTTATGCTCCCTTTCCCTCAAGCCTTTGGTCTTGAAGCAGAAGTCCTTAGCACAAGGGTGCTTGAGAGGTTTCTCCTTTCCTTCTCCAGGCCCAACAGGGGAAGGGCCGCTCGGTAAGCAGGGACCCAAAGGCGCCCCCGGCAGCACCGGCTCCCCTGGGTTTCCTGGGGCTAGAGGCCAGCCTGGAGAACCTGGCCCCACAGGCGGATGTGTCGCTTCTGACTGCTACGAAGAAAACGTGAGAGGTAAAACCTGAAGCCACGGGGGAGAAAGGGGGTGGTGGTGGAAAGATTGTAATTGATTCAATAAATTCATGCCTATGGGAAACAGTTTTACCTCAGGGCTGGCTAGTTGTAGGTATTTGATCGCTCCAAACGAGGGACATCTTTTGCGTACCCTCCTGTGGCTGCTGGCTTGGGGTTGCCAACCTCCAGGTGGGACATGGAGATATCCTGGAATCACAGCTGATATCCATGCCACAGAGTTCAGTTCCCCTGGTGGAAATGGCAGCTGTGTTGTACATATTAGATTCCATGTCAAAAATGAAGTCAAATGAGGAGGAAGTTCTTGTATTTTATTGTAATTAGGCCACACCCTGACAGCACCGCTCATTAGCACATTAGGCCACACCCTGACAGCACCGCTCATTAGCACATTAGGCCACACCGCCATGTTACCAGAAGTGTGGTCATCCAGCCACACCCACCTTTTGCTTCTAATTCTGTTTACCTTGTTTTTTGTCAAAACCCAGGGCTTGTAGCAGGAACTCCTTTGCATGTTAGGCCACACACCCCTAATGTAGCCAATCCTGATGAGTTTCTGCTGTTGGGTGTGGCCTATTATTCTAATGAGCTCCTGCTGGGCGTGGCCAACTCGGGAGCCAGCCGGAACTCCGTTCCTGTGCGTTCCTGCCCAAAAAGAGCCCTGGAAATTCATGCCTATGGGAAACAGTTTTACCTCAGGGCTGGCTAGTTGTAGGTATTTGATC